CAGCACCACTAAACCACCAACAAATGCTAAAGGAACTTCTCGATGTGGGAAATGCAAGAGAAGGAAAAGACCTACAATAACAAACACAAAATAATTAAGAAAATGGTTATAGGACATACATATCAATAATTAACTTAAATGTAAATGGATTAAATGCTCCAACCAAAAGACATAGACTAGCTGAATGGATACAAAAGCAAGACCGATATATATGCTGTCTACAAAACACCCACTTTAGACCTAGGGACACTTAGTGACGGAAAGTGAGGGATGGAAAAAGATATTCCATGCAAATGGAAATCAAAAGAAAGCTGGAAGAGCAATTCTTATATCAGAAAAAATAGACTTTAAAACAAAGACTATTACAAGAGACAAAGAAGGATACTACATAATGATCAAGGGATCAATCCAAGAAGAAGATATAACAATTATAAATATTTTTGCACCCAACATAGGAGCACCTCAATAAATAAGGCAAATGCTAACAGCCATAAAAAGGGAAATCGACAGTAACACAATCATAGTACAGGACTTTAACACCCCACTTTTACCTATGGACAGATCATCCAAAATGAAAATAACTAAGGAAACACAAGCTCTAAATGACATATTAAACAAGATGGACTTAATTGATATTTACAGGACATTTCATACAAAAACAACAGAATACACTTTCTTCTCAAATGCTCATGGGACATTCTCCAGGATAGATCATATCTTGGATCACAAAAAAGCCTTGGTAAATTTAAGAAAATTGAAACCGTATCAAGTATCTTTTCTGACCACAAAGCTATGAGACTATATATCAATTACAGGAAAAAAATCTATAAAAAATACAAACACATGGAGGCTAAACAATACACTACTTAATAACCAAGACATCACTGAAGAAATCACAGAGGAAATCAAAACATACCTAGAAACAATGACAATGAAAACACAATGACCCAGAACCTATGGGATGCAGCAAAAGCAGTTCTAAGAAGGAAGTTTATAGCAATACTATCCTACCTCAAGAACCAGGAAACATCTCAAATAAACAACCTAACCTTACACCTAAAGCAATTAGAGAAAGAACAAAAAGACCCCAAAGTTAGCAGTAGGAAAGAAATCATAAAATCAGATCAGAAATAAGTGAAAAAGAAATGAAGGGAACAGCAGCAAAGATCAATAAAACTAAAAGGTGGTTCTTTGAGAAGATAAACAAAATTGATAAACCATTAACCAGACTCATCAAGAAAAAAAGGGAGAAGACTCAAATCAATAGAATTAGAAATGAAAAAGGAGAAGTAGCAACTGACACTGCAGAAATACAAAAGGTCATGAGGGATTACTACAAGCAACTCTATGCCAATAAAATGGACAACCTGGAAGAAATGGACAAATTCTGAGAAAAGCACAACCCTCTGAGACTGAACCAGGAAGAGATAGATAGTATAAACAGACCAATCACAAGCACTGAAATTGAGACTATGATTAAAAATCTTCCAACAAACAAAGCCCAGGACCAGACGGCTTCACAGGCAAATTCTATCAAACATTTAGAGAAGAGTTAACACCTATCCTTCTCAAACTCTTCCAAAATATAGCAGAGGGAGGAACACTCTCAAACACATTCTATGAGGCCACCGTCACCCTGATACCAAAACCAAACAAAGATGTCACAAAGAAAACTACAGGCCAATATCACTGATGAACATGGATGCAAAAATCCTCAACAAAATACTAGCAAACAGAATCCAGCAGTATATTAAAGTGTTCTACACCATGATCAAGTGGGGTTTATACCAGGAACGCAAGGATTCTTCGATATTAGCAAATCAATCAGTGTGATAAACCATATTAACAAATTGAAGGGAAAAACCATATGATCATCTCAATAGATGGAGAAAAAGCTTATGACAAAATTCAAAACCCATTTATGATAAAAACTCTCCAGAAACTAGGCATAGAGGGAACCTACCTCAACACAATTAAGGCCATATATGACAAACCCACAGCAAACTCTCCAGAAAGTAGGCATAGAGGGAACCTACCTCAACATAATTAAGGCCATATATGACAAACCCACAGCAAACATTGTTTTCAATGGTGAAAAACTGAAACCATTTCCAGTAAGATCAGGAAAAAGACAAGGTTGTTCACTCTCACCATTATTATTCAACATAGTTTTGGAAGTTTTAGCTGTAGCAATCAGAGAAGGAAAAGAAATAAAAGGAATCCAAATCAGAAAAGAAGAAGTAAAGCTGTCACTGTTTGCAGATGACAAAATCCTATTCATAGAGAATCCTAAAGATGCTACCAGAAAACCACTAGAGCTAATCAATGAATTTGGTAAAGTAGCAGGTTACAAAATTAATGCACAGAAATCTCGTGCACTCCTATACACTAATAATGAAAAATCTGAATGAGAAATTAAGGATCACTATAATTTACCATTGCAATAAAAAGAATAAAATACCCAGGAATAAACCTACCAAAGGAGACAAAAGACCTCTATGCAGAAAACTATGAGACAATGATGAAAGAAATTAAAGATGATACAAAGAGATGGAGAGATATACCATGTTCTTGGATTGGAAGAATCAACATTGTGAAAATGACTACACTATCCAAAGCAATCTACAGATTCAATGGAATCCCTATCAAACTACCAATGGCACTTTTCACAGAACTAGGACAAAAATTTCACAATCTGTGGGGAAACACAAAAGACCCCGAACAGCCAAAGCAATCCTGAGAAAGAAAAACAGAGCTGGAGGAATCAGGCTCCTGGACTTCAGACTATACTATGAAGCTACAGTAATCAAGACTGTACAGTATGGGCACAAAAATAGAAATACAGATCAATAGAACAGGATAGAAATCCCAGAGATAAACCCATGCACATATGGTCAGCTTATTTTTGATAAAGGAGGCAAGAATATACAATGGAGAAAAGACAGCCTCTTCAATAAGTGGTGCTGGGAAAACTGGACCACTACATGTAAAAGAATGAAATTAGAACATTCTGTAACACCATACACAAAAATAAACTCAAAATGGGTTAAAGACCTGAATGTAAGGTCAGACACTATAAAACTCTTAGAGGAAAACATAGGCAAATCACTCTATGACATAAATCACAGCAAGATCCTTTTTGACCAACCTCCCAGAGAAATGGAAATAAAAAACAAAAATAAACAAATGGGACCTAATGAAACTTAAAAGCTTTTGCACAGCAAAGGAAACCATAAGCAAGATGAAAAGACAACCCTTAGAATGGGAGAAAATATTTGCAAATGAAGCAACTGACAAAGGATTAATCTCCAAATATACAAGCAGCTCATGCATCTCAATATCAAAAAAACAAACAGGGCTTCCCTGGTGGCGCAGTGGTTGGGAGTCCGCCTGCCGATGCAGGGGACACGGGTTCGTGCCCCGGTCCGGGAAGATCCCACATGCTGCAAAGTGGCTGGGCCCGTGAGCCATGGCCACTAAGCCTGCACGCCCAGAGCCTGTGCTCCACAACGGGAGAGGCCACATCAGTCAGAGGCCTGCGTACCACAAAAAAAAGAAAAAGAAAAAAACAAAACAAACAACCCAATCCAAAAATGGGCAAAAGACCTAAATAGACGTATCTGCAAAGAAGATATACAGATTGCCAACAAACACATGAAAGGATGCTCACCATCACTAATCATTAGAGAAATGAAAATCAAAACTACAATTAGGTATCACCTCACAGCAGTCAGAATGGCCATCACCAAAACATCTAGAAATAATAAATGCTGGAGAGGATGTGGAGGAAAGGAAACCCTCTTGCACTAATGGTGGGAATGTAAATTGATACAGCCACTATGGAGAACAGTATGGAGGTTCCTTAAAAAAACTAAAAATAGAACTACCATGTGACCCAGCAATCTCACTACTGGCATATACCCTGAGAAAACCATAATTCAAAAAGTGTCATGCTCAGTGCAGCTCTATTTACAATAGCCAGGACATGGAAACAACCTAAGTGTCCCTTGACAGGTGAATGGATAAAGAAGATGTGGCCCATATATACAATGGAATATTACTCAGCCATAAAAAGAAATGAAATTGAGTTATTTGTAATGAGGTGGATGGACATAGAGTCTGTCATACAGAGTGAAGTAAGTCAGAAAGAGAAAAACAAATACCATATGTTACCACATGTATACGGAATCTAAAAAAAAAAAAGCTTCTGAAGAACCTAGGGGTAGGACAGGAATAAAGATGCAGACGTAGAGAATGGACTTGAGGACAAAGGGAGGGGGAAGGGTAATCTGGGACGAAGTGAGAAAGTGGCATGGACTTATATATACTACCAAATGTAAAATAGATAGCTAGTGGGAAGCAGCCGCATAGCACAAGGAGATCAGCTCAGTGCTTTGTGACCACCTAGAGGGGTGGGATAGGGAGTGTGGGAGGGAGAGGCAAGAAGGAGGAGATATGGGGATATAAATATATGTATAGCTGATTTACTTTGTTATAAAGCAGAAACTAACACACCATTGTAAAGTAATTATACTCCAATAAAGATGTTTAAAAAAAGGTTAAAAAAAACCCCAACTCATGTTAGACATGCAGTTTTCAATATAATTTCCAGTGTTTTTAAAAAAATATATATTATAAACTTCAAAGAATAACAATTACATGTTAGAAAAGATACTCCTCCATTCCCCAAATGATTTAAGTTTTCTCAGTATTCAGCTTTGTGATTAAAAAAATTAAAGAAAAAGACTAATGAAGAAACACAGTTGTTTAGAAAGGCAAGTTTTTGAACAGAATTTCTGAAGAAATGTACATTCATACATCCATATATTCACTGCTTCTTTATGGCAATGGATATGAAAAAGGGAATACTGAATAAGATCTCAAAATTAGTAACTATCTTAGACAACTGGAAGAGAGGATACTTTCAAACAAGAATATTTTGTATATTGGAAAGCTGGAAGTGGAGAAATTCTTTTCTAATACCAAAATAAATTGCTTACTGGTTGATCTGTTCGGTTGATCCCAATCAAGAAGAGCAGTTCTGCTACAAAAAGGCTGATGCAGAGGTTCTTATGGATGGTGTTACGGTCACTCTGGAGCCCACGGAAAAAGCAAAATGTGAAGATGCAAATCAGGAGACAAACAAGGGACAGTAAAATTCCAACCCATGTGATCACATCCAGAAGAAGGTCATGGACCGCATCACTGTGCTGGAAACACAATAGAAAAGGCATAAGTTGCAATTATGCATAACCAATTACAAAGTTTATAAGCGCCTGGTTCTATGAAGCATGATTTTAATAATGTACTAAATATCCTCCACACATGCAATGAATAAGATAATTATTTGGGTTTTCTAATCCACAGGTAAAGCATTTTATCTTTTCTGTGAGGTGTAAATCAGTTTGTCAATAGTGTTTGCACCTTTCTTAGCTATGTACATTTTCAGTTGTACATTTTCAACTATGTACATTTTCAGTTTAAGCATATCAACTTAATTCTGGCCAAAGATTTCAAGGTAAAGCTTTCGTTTTTCTACCCCACATCACATTTTTAGGTTAATATTTTTACAACTCTTGCTAGGGAATACTCTATATAAAAATTAAGTTATACACTTAGGAAAGTGGTATCACAACTGAAATTTATTTGAATCACTGAAGATTTTTTATTAAAAAAATACAATTCCTCTGTCCTATAAATCCTTTATCAGAATTTCGAAGGTTGAGTTCATAAAAGTATGTAATTTTATAAAGATCCCCAGTTAATTCTGATGGACAGCCACATATGTGTACCATTTATTTAGTGGAAAATCTAAAAGAATGAGGATAGTCACTGGATTTATATTCATATTGAATGGCTTAAGGAGATCAAGAAGTTTGATCACTGAAAGGTTTTGCATGAATAGAACCTGTTATACACAGATGGAAAATAAGTATTCAGAATTACTATACCTGATAGCAGCCCAAAAGAGATAGTACAGCCATGAAAAAGAAATACGTTCATGAAAACTTCCGCATTGAAACTACATTATGTGTCTCTGTTACAGTCCTGTGAGTTCCATACCTGCCATGTTCCTTGGTTTGTCCACTATCTCATTTCTGTCTTTGTTCTAAGATTCAAAACTCCATTTCCACTCTATGATAGTTTGCCTCTGTCGAAACCACTTTTGTGAAGCTTAGAATGTATGGTAGCCCAACACATCGGTGTGCCAACATGTTGGAGCAGAATCGAGAAACTGTCTATGACTGTCAATTCCTCTTTTCTTCCTATGTTTCTTGAAAATTCTTAAAGACCTAACTTCCAACAGTAGGGGAATACATAAATAATGGTTGATATTTATGGAATGATATTCAAAAGAGGAGTAGAAAATCAGTGTTCTAGATTTATAGTCACAAACATAGATACTTCTCAAAAATCTAATATTAGGTTTAAAAAAATGCAAGTGGCAAAAGTATCTATACAGTATGATACCATTTATGTAAAAATTTAAATTACACAAATCAATGACATTGATATTTATGGATATATGCATAAGTAGTGAAAGCATAACATGTGCATGGGAAATTTTTTAGTTGAAAACAAAGATATGTGTTTCTAATTGATATCTTTTTCAACTGTATAGATCATACACATTGATTTTTGTTTTAGGATGGAAGTTACCACATGTAGTTGTCTCCCACATTAAGGTTAGCTCACCTTAAAAAATTCATAAATATCCAGGTTTTCTATTTTTATTTTTATTCAAACTTTGTACCTTTATGTTTTATATAAACTTCATACAAAGATTATTCTGAATGTGGAAATTCTCCTTACAAGTGAGCCACCATGCTGTAACCTGAATCACAGCACTTCGCATATTGCTAGATACAACTTCACAGTTGTTACCTGATAAAGAACTCTGCTAGGATACTGTCAATGAAACAGTTTCAAACTATTCCTGCATAACTCTAGATGTATTTCTCAGAAGGAGCTCAAATCATGAAAGAAAACCACATGAAATTTTGCTTTAACTGCTTTGTTCTCCAGGGGACACTGCTAAAGTAGTGTTGGGTCTCTGATAGCTTAAATTACTTTTACTATTGGAGAGTGGAGAGTGGTTAGTGCTACCCAGTTCCCTGAACAGAGAGCTATTTGCTCTCTTCTTTGACTCAAAGGAAAGATGCTGTAATTGAGTATTAAGCACCAGCGTTCAGCACAGCAGTCTTCCATAATGGCAGGTATAATACATTCTCAAATATATCCTAAAGACCTAAAACACTAAAAAAGAAAGAAAAAAAAGAAACCAAATAACTCCAGCTTTTCCTGGGTAGTTGCATTATTAGAAATGTATTGACTTTACTCAATGCCTTTGTAGGTCTTTCAAAAACCCCATGCAGAGTTATTAAGAGAAGAATACCAAATGTCAAAACAACAGTACAAAAAGTACATAACGCTCAAAGAAAGAACAAAAAAGTCTAGCAATTAATTAGTAATCATCTTTCGGGTATTACTGTCTAGTTCAGAAAACATAAACACCAACCACCTTATATGTATTATACTGTGATCGAATGTAACTCACCACTTGAATTTTATCAGTAAGATGAAAGTAAAAGAACAATGGACATTAAATGTGAACAAGACCTATGAGTTTAGCCTTCTTTATAATAGTCTGTCATAACAGAACTTTCAGGAGGCCAAGCCATGATAAAAACCAACCCCCCTTCAAGAGGATGGTCAATTGAATAAAACTCCTAGGTATAGTTTTTTTGTTTTGTTTTGTTTTTTGTGGTACGCGGGCCTCTCACTGTTGTGGCCTCTCCCGTTGCGGAGCACAGGCTCCGGACGTGCAGGCTCAGGGGCCATGGTTCAATGGCCCAGCCGCTCCGTGACATGTGGGATCCTCCCGGACAGGGGCACGACCCTGCGTCCCCTGCATCGGCAAGCAGACTCTCAACCACTGCGCCACCAGGGAAGCCCTCCTAGGTATAGTTTTAACAATGTGATAATGGAGCAAGTATTCCTATTTCCAAGGTTCCACGTTTTGAGTACTCTATAACTCAATCACCCCTGACATTATGTGACTTGAGATCTTATTAGTCTTATATCTTATTATTATATCCTAGCACTTAGTATTGGGCTTGACACATAAAAAAATGATGAATAGGGCTTCCCTGGTGGTGCAGTGGTTGAGAGTCCGCCTGCCGATGCAGGGGACAGGGGTTCATGCCCCAGTCCGGGAAGATCCCACATGCCGCGGAGCGGCTGGGCCCGTGAGCCGTGGCCACTGAGCCTGCGCGTCCGGATCTTGTGCTCCACAGCGGGAGAGGCCACAACAGCCACGTACCGAAAAAAAAAAAAAAAAAAAAAGGTGAATAAATATTTGTTTTTGAATGGTTATAATAACACTATTCCACTTAAATCAAATGTCGAATAAGAGCTGAACCCTCTTACATCAGTATAGTTTTAGTAACCATTTAATCCCCACTGGATTTTTAAAAGTATCAATATCAAATATTACATGTTCAAAACTGAGCCCCTTCTTATCCTGTTTCTCCCTCCGCTCCCACCCCCCCACTCCCAAATCTACCCTTCCTTCTGTTTACCTCATTTCAGTAAACAGTAACTTCGTTCTTTGAAGTGTTCTGGCCAAGAACTTCAGAGTCATATTGATTCCTCTTTTTCACACACTACTCTTAATCCATCAAGAAATCTTGTAGCTCCTGTCTTCTATCTGACAGCTGCTCCTCACCTCAATTGCACCAAATTGGTTAGAGCTACCTGATTTTTTTTTTTTTTTTTTTTTTTTTTTTTTTTGGTTTGCGGGCCTCTCACTGTTCTGGCCTCTCCCATTTGCGGAGCACAGGCTCCGGACGCGCAGGCTCAGCGGCCATGGCTCACGGGCCTAGCCACTCCTCAGCATGTGGGATCTTCCCGGACCGGGGCATGAACCCGTGTCCCCTGCATCGGCAGGCAGATTCTCAACGACTGCACCACCATGGAAGCCCCACCTGATTTTTTTTTAAACAGCCTCCTCAATGATCTCCCTACTTTGACCCTCATCCATCCCCCTTTCCTCTCTGTTCAACAAGATGGAGAGATTCTCTTTAAATACAAGCCAGATAATAAGATTCATTGATGGAGGCATCCAATGTCTCCTACCTCAATAAAAGTAAAAACCAAAGTCTTTACAAAGGTCTACAATGTCCTATAAGATCTGCACTCCTGTGAAACATTTCCTATTCTCCCCTTCATTCAGTTCACTCTACCCGAGTTGGCCTCCTCTAGCCTTTGAATACATCCAGCACATTCCAGCCTCAGAGACTTTGTACTTGATGTTCCCTTGGTCTGGAATTCTCTTCCAATAAATAGCTGTGTGACTTACTCGCTAACCTCCTTCAGTTCTTCATTCAAATGTCACCTTCTCACAGAGTTTTCCTGAATCACCTCATCTAAAATTGCAAACATCATTTACCCACTCTGACTCTCTATTACTTTTCCTGAATTTTTTTCCTCTTAACATTTACCTAGACTATATATTTTACTAATATATCTTATTTATGTTTTCTACATAAATAAGATATATTAATAAAATACATAGCCTAGAACCTATTGTATAGCACAAGGAACTCTACTCAATACTGTGTAATGGCCTATATGGGAAAAGAATCTAAAAAAGAGAGGATATATGTATACGTATAACTGATTCACTTTAATGTATCCCTGAAACTAACACAACATTGTAAATCAACTGTACTCCAATTAAAAAAAAAAAAATTTCTTGTTCATCATCTGTGGCCTTTACTAGAAAGTACACTGTAAGAGAATAAGTTGTTTAATCACCAATGTATCCCCATATCCTAGAAAGCTGCCTCCCATAGAGTGGATGCACAATTAATGTGTGAACTGAATAAATGAATCTCTCTTTAATTACCCCCCCCTTCTGAAATGAATTTAGATTATAAACTAAAAGTTGTATCATGCTGCCCATTGCAACCTTTGGGGTTCTTTGTTTCATAAACTACCTGCTCCAAAATCTTGAGTAAAAGATAAAGAAAATTAAAGCTGGAGAATGAGGAGGTCGTTACACCATAATATCTTAAAATGTGTGGAAGTAAGAGGACTGCAGAGTAAGTATGATTAGAGTCTGAAGATGTGGATTTAACCTTGTTGCTCCAATTTTGCAATTGGACAACTTGAACAACTACTTACCCTTTAAAGTATCAGACACTTC